TTTCTTGCTATCACTCTTTCCATGGTGTCACCTTCTCGTGTTGCATTCGGATTTGATAAGAGACGCTCATACTATTCAGCAGTCCCTCTCAATGCAGTTTGTTGGCTGGAGCTGGACTGGCAGACGACCTGCTAGCATGTCTAGCTTTTTTTTGCGTCTGTAGTTTATTGGTTGCGAATAAACATTTATAGATTTTGTATTTAATTAAAGACAATTCAGTACGATAATTCCCCACAGGTATTCGATTTCGGCTTGATTTTAATTCATAAGTAACTCTGAATATCCATATCAAGTTCAGATCAGAACCGCAATATTCGATTAATTTCTTCTGCTATCATGTAAGATCATAAATTCCTCATCTGAATAACTGTGTGATCGGACGAGGAGCTCATTAGAGAAGTTCGAAAATAGCATCACTTTGGAGTATCAACTTATCATATTTGAGATGACTGTCATATGTGTGAAAACTATAACCTTTTACAGAGACAGACAACATCATTGCAATAGTGTGGTGCGTGGGCTGGTAGCTACGAGTCTGGAACGACTGAAATCACGGATATCATGGTGAATACCGCAGCAGGCGTATGTGTAACAAAGGACAGCGATTATCGTGGAGTCACCATGACTGAGAAGAAGGAAACAAAAGTGATCAAGATGCGGGGCACTCGTTGCCTCTGTGAACGCGAAGAATATGTCTTTTACTTCAGCAACACACTTATTAATGTTGACAGTTTATTTTACGGTATTCTATTCTGAATATCTCTGATTTTGAAAATCAATAATCCATGTCCATCATAGACTAATGTCACAATATTAATCTTTTGCTGGAGACGGGCATCGCATTCTAAAGGCGATTTCTTGGAAAACTTTTTCGCCGTACAAAACTATCTCACAGCGATTGCGGCAGTCATTTGGAAAGTTCAATATCAGTCATCTCAATGCTGCTCTTGGTTTCTGAAAAGGCTTTTGTAGCGCGTTGTAACAACGGAAATAAATTTGTTGAAAAGCACTAAATGCGGTCCAGTGGATGAATATGCTGTATGATGATAGCCGTAGGGTGGTGACTGACTATATGTGAGGCTGAGTCTCTTAAAGCAGTGGCAGGCCAACCATAGCCTTTGAATTCGCTCCGTCACCGAATTGATAGGTTCCGCTCACATTTTTACTGACGACATAGCATGAGTAGTTTAATAGTGTTGCGAAACGGAACCAAATGATGGCACGTTGATTTTACATTGGAGAGATTATTCATGAGGTACGCGTTTCGGTAGCCGACAGTTAACGCTCTGTATAGTAGAAAGAGTGGAGTGAAGAACGAGCGTCGGTGGTGCAACGGTTTAGCACATGCTCCCGGAAAGAGTAAGATCTGGGTTCAAATCCCAGTTGACGGAACGTTTTGCACGCCACTCGACACCATTGGATTAATAGAAACATCATAACACCGCAATAGGCGGTCAAATAAAATGATTTCGGAATCGTTTCTTTACTCTTATGAGTTTTACAAAATTTCTAGCGGTCCAGGTCGTTGACCAATAAATTGACTCCTAACTAACCGTTCATTCGTTCCAAACGTTATGATCAGTCATAATTGTCATTTCGTATAGGCAGGTATGAGAAGCACAAAAGTCGACTCGACATACCGAGAGATACTAAATGATGTTTACGACTATGAACCTCAGATGGGAGTTGAACCAACTTTTCACCTATACCGAGGTCACATGCTACCACTACACCACCAAGGCCTTTGCTTTGTCAACACTTTGCGATACTCAACATATGCCACAAAATACCACCAAATGATGCCAGGAATGTGGACGTATGGTAGCGCATAGTCTGATAATCATCATTTTGTACTGCAGTACGAGATAGCAGAGTATGGGCCTCCCTGATCTAATGGTAGCTCGGATCCCCAGAACGGGTGGAACGTGCGTTCAATTTCCACCCACAATCTTAAATTTGGCATAGCACCTAAGTTTTGGGTCATGGAACATTGCTGTTTGATCTTTATAGGGGAGAAGTCCGTAACAGCATGAAACTGGTCGCTTCAAGTGGCAGCGACGCATACTTTCAGGCTTTGTGTTTAGACAGCTGGAGTGCGTTGTGAGTTAATTTCCATTTGTACTAACTGGTATATACTACTAAATCACATTGGTATTTTAACAGTAATGGTACTACTAATCAACACTTCGAAACTCGAGGTGAAACTTTCAAAACACAATCACCTCGACGACAAATTTTTGGTGGCGTACATGACACATAGCCTAGATTTCTGCTTATCTAGCCTTTATGACTCTCATGGAGGTCACACCAACCACAGTGTTCCGCAATTTGACTACTAAGCCCTATTTCCGTGATATAAATAGGATTCCCTTTGAGTTTAAAAAAAATTGCGATTCCATTTTTCTTCATATACTTCATGTTATTCTCTACACCCTTCCATGTTTTTGGGGCATACACTGATCTTTTGTCTTAGATGCTGCTTTCCTCAAGTTTCGTAAATGAAAGAGATTGAACAAATAGTGTCCTACAAATTACAGCACGATAATTACTACATTGTACTGTTGACGTGTATAGTTGCCGGAGACTCACATGATGTGTAAGGAAAGAAACGCAATTCGTTTATAACTTTTGTTGACATTCTTAGTGCCCGACAATTAACCCTTCATTGACTGTGTGTATGATTTTTGTTGCGCAAGCTTTTCGTGATTTTTTCTGACTATTTTTCTCTGTGTTCGTGTGTTTCGGGTGTGTTCTCTGTTTGTTCTTCCAAGGGCTTGTTTTGTAAAGCCTCACTCATGTCGATGATTCTTTACACTTCAATGAAACGATCTCATTCGCTTTTATGTAGGCAACCGGCTCAAATATCATCAGGCATTGCCTTACAACTCAAAATGAGAAATCCTATGTTAGGTGTCCAACATTCATACATTTCATTCATCATAATAATACCTGTGGTATCAGGAGGAATCCTATAGCGGACGGATGAAGTAAACCATGGCTCTGAAATGTAGGAATACATCATAATGTATAGGAATTCATAACACAAGGTTAGGAGAGCGCTCAGTTCTGTGGTTGGAGGTAACATGCAGCACAAATGGGAGCCGTTGATTCTATTCCGCGTCATAGACTTACCATACCTTCCACCCTTCCGCAGTTGGCAAACTAATACCATTCTCATATGAGAGGACAGCAACACCCCCGTGATACATCGGTAGACAACCACAAGTCATTAGATGTGTATTCAGTCATGTTAGAAATGCTTGGCGAAGTGACGCACCTTAAAAATTGATCAACGCTGAGTGCCTTATCTTCTATTATAAAGGTGCTGACTGTACTCATAGCTCATATAACACTAGCTGACTGCATAGCTGAAAGCGACCTCATATTTTCCTTTGAATCCCAAATGGCAGATGTATGCGCCGCCATTTGCTACGTCTTATGTCGCGCGCGGAAGAAATTTTGTATTTTCGCGCGCTGCAATGGAAATCTAGGGATTTATTTGGCAAATTGAGGTTAGGAGGGAATATTATGACCATTAAATAATGGAATACCTCCGAAGACACTCTGCAAAGATCATTTTAAGGACAACATCACACACAGCTCAGAAAATGTGCTCTAAATGTGCTGATAATCAGCTTCAAAGTGCTGTTCTGTCCTGAAAATATCATGTTTTTTAAATTTGGTGACTAAACATTAGAATAAAAATTAGGTGGATCGTTCACATGGAAGAGAAGATCTAATAACTGACGAAGATTGCAGGATGATCATGAAAATGTAGTCCTCTACAGGTATCACGTACAGAATGTGCGAGCAGTTTTCGGAACTTTCCTCTGAAAATGAGGTGCCACGCTAATTAAAGGTAATGGATGTATTCCAAGACTTTTAGCTTAAAGATATTTGACTGCAGCGTTTACCGACTCTGAGCTGTGCTTTCCTTTAAGCTTTCAGTCGCCAGGCTTCAGAGCGATCGATTCTGGGTTGTTCACCTTCAGTAAAAAAAGATTGAGATCTTTTGTTGACAGATCAAAAAGATTAGAATAAAACTTACCGCTATCGTAAAGGCATTCTGATAGTGAAACTCAGGAAAACAAATCGGTGTGGTGATGATCATTCGTAGTTAAGTGTCAATAATTTGCGGTTATGTCTACAAATTTCGAACAAGACTTAATATTCATTCACTTCTGGAAATTTCCAATTCAACCATCTGCGGGCATTGTCAGAGAGATCGATATATTCTCCACTATAAATGGACCAGTAATACATGACTGGTAAGTTTTTAATCTTGATTTCCTTAATGCAGCACATTCACTCCAATTTTAGGGAAATTCGGGTCGGACCCGATACTTTTGGATCATTTCGTCAGGCAGGGTTTAGAAATAAACAGGTGCAGGTAGTGTAAGAAGAAGTTTTCTGGAATATGATGTTATTTTCAAATAAATATTAAAACGGAAAACTACGATATCATTCATCAATTTGCGTGGATATCTTTCGACAGCACAAACCATCTATAGCAGAATTATGGTGAAACGTCCGCCTAGTCATTGCAATTATAAGTGGGGCCACGCAAAACCATCACTTAGTCGAAAGAAGACGAAAACGAAAAGGAATCAGGTTCGGTCCAAAGCGGAA